TGGAAGGGGCTTGTGTGTACTCTGCAGCTTCTGCCTTGGTGAAGTCAACCAGTCAGTACTCACCAGTTTCAGCCTTTGAACCAAGAGCGGGCGTGTTTCTGTGTGGCTGTGGACAGGTAGGAAGGGACACGAATGCTCAGCCACCTTCTACAGCTCAGAACTCTTCTCCACAACTGAGCAAGGGTTTTCTTCCTCCCAAAGCTACTCACTCCTATTGGCAAACTCCATCAACTTGGTGGTTGTGAGAATGTTCTCTCTGGGTAGAAAGAACAGTGGTACGCAGGTTGTTGCTCTGCCAGCTGAGCCCATTACAGAAAATCACCCCCCAAACTGTCCACTGTGCTCAGGGAACACTCTTTGAAAACATCGGTAAATTAGTAGCTTTGTGACTCTCCTGTAACGACAGCCACCGAAGGACAAAGTGGAGAGGCATCTGCCATTGTTCCCATGGAGGCTGTTCCACCTGGGGCTGAGCACATGACTGCATCATTCTGGCAGCTGGAGCAGCATTGTTTCAAGCAGGAGCAGGAATGATGAACCCTGAAGACATCTACATTGCAGGACATTAGCCTCCTCACACAAGGTCTGGCAACTTTCGACATGGTCGTTCCAGTGAAAGTGTATACAAGTAAACTCAGGGAAGATTAAGGAGGCAGTGTGAGGAAGTGGTTAGGGCTGTTGTGAGCCTCGCCTTGGCTCCAGCTCTGTGGTCTTAGCAGGTTCTAGAAGCTCATTGCCCCGGTGTGCCCATTCTAAACTAGGGAAGAAAACAACAAACTTTTTTTTTTTTTTTAATGGTGAAAAGTAGTTTTATTTTTTAGAATTTTTAGTGGACCGTTAATTTACTTCTTTTTCTTTTTCTTTTTTTGTTTGTTGTTGTTGTAGGGCATATTACTTTTATTAATCTCAGTGGTGGCAGATTTTAGTGCTTTGAGCACGAAAGTGAGATTGAAAAAGATCAAAGCCACTTCCTACCTTCTCTGATGAGGAGCAAAGTGGGTAACTGATATAGGCAAGACTATTTTACCAGCCTAGAGATGGCACTAAATAATGTCTTTATATGTCTCATGGAGTAAACAGATTCAAACATCCATCATAGTATCTCATAAGCAAATCCATACCTACCCAAAATGCTTACAGAGAACACAATCTGGTTGTTGCAAGGATTCATTCATTCATTCATCCACTCATTTGTTCAATGAAATACTTTCTATTAATGTAATAAACCCACCACTATCTGGATTTGAACGAGACAAAGTCTGCAGCCCTGGGAGGGACAAAAACCAATGAGCATCATCCTCACTGAAGTTAGACTGTAAGAAGTGGCCAAAGTGGAAACACTTGACTTTGACAAATCTATTTCCTCTATTGTATCTTCAATACCGGAGAGTCTCTCTTCCATCTCTTGTATTCTGTTGGTTATGCTTGCATCTGTAGTTCCTGTTCATTTTTTCCGATTTTCCATTTCCAGCATTTTTTCAGTTTGTATCTTTTTTTTTTTCCCCCGAATGCCGTTTATTGAAGGAGGGAGGAGGTCTTAAATACTGGCTTACAGCACAATGGGAGAACCAACAGCCATTTCTAAAGCTGCTGTGGATGAAATGAATGGTGTGGGGAACACAGTCAACCACATCTAAGGACATCAGCTGTTCATCTTGAATGTGTGTGCTTGGTTAATTTTGTGCCAACTTGACACAAGCTGGACTCATCTGAGGGGAGGAAACCTCAACTGAGAAAATGCCTCCATAAGATCTGGTCGTAGGCAAGCCTGTAGAGCATTTTCTTAATTAGTGATAAAGGAGGGCTCAGCCCATTGTGGGTGGGGCCACCCCAAGGCTAGTGGTCCTGGTTCTGTAAGAAAGCAAGCTGAGCAAGCCATGGGAAGCAAGCCAGGAGCAGCACCCCTCCATGGCTTCTGCATCAGCTCCTGCCTCCAGGTTCCTGCTGAATTTGGAGTTCTTGCCTTGGCATCTCTCTAATAGACTGTGATTCAGGATATGTAAAGTAAATAAACCTTTTCCTCCTCAAGTTGCTTTTAGTTATGGTGTTTCATCATAGTAAAAGAAAGCCTACCTAAGGTAATGTTATCCTGTTTTTTTTCCAGAAAAGATTCGCCAGTTCAAAGGTAAAACTGATGCAAGCTGCAAGAAATGTGCAGTCTCCTAAGCTGAAGAATCGACTCAAATGCTTGCCTGCTCCTCATGCAGTTTGCTAACTTTGGTTCCTGAGGGTCACAGCCCTCTCCCGGCAGATGCTGCTCCTCCAGGGATGGAGTGAACACACCCCTTCCCCCAGCTCCAGCCTCACACTGGCCTTTGCCTTTGTCTTGAGACAAACTGCTGACTTTCCCAGTTCTGTCTTTCGATGGACATGTGGAGCAGCACAGCTAGGATTCTGGACCTGCTTAAAACCCAGACTGATGGCGGCATCAGCATGGCGGCACGTGGGAAAGCAAGGGGGGGGGGTCCGGTTTTGGAATTGGATTCTTGGCTGTGAGCGGTGTGCGTGTTCATGTTATAGACATTCTCCGATCTTTGGCTTCCTTTTCTGGTAGACAGAATGTTTCCTCCAGAGACTGGTGTAAAGATGAAGGGAAAACACCATGAATCCCTTACCTCAAGCCAGTGGGATGCAAGTCATAAACTCTTATTTTTGTAAAGAAACTGCATTTGGCAATTCAGTCACTGCTGGCTTTATACCATACAAGTGCAATCTATTATTCAGAAAAAAAAAAAAACAGACATACACCAGTGATTTTTAAACCCTTCATAATCTAAATATGGATAATTTTAATTCTTTGTATTTTCTGGTACATTCAATTTTGTTCACAACAAACATTACCTTCTGTAACCTGAGAAAGTTACAAAAGGTATCAGTTCTCATTATTGTTTATCTACCTAGAGTCTAATTCTGACTTAGTCTGGGAAAGCTGGTAAGACAATCACGAGCAATTATTCTATCATTAATTTACAGTTTCAAATATTTTTCTTACATTGACTGTAAGTGACCTAAGTAATACTAGGAATGTTGAAAACAGGCAATATATTCACAAGATTCCAGAATTTAAAAAGCCCCATCTCAGCCTGTTCTTCAGTTTGGCCACACCAATGACCTGGCTAGCATACCTCCCATAACTTAACCTCTGTATGTAAAGTAAGTACAAATGCATACTTACTATAGAGTGTTTCCATCAAACATGTGTTAACTTAGGCCAATATGAATTATTTGGTGACTTGGGCAATCTGCAGCACTTTTAAAGGATGCCTATAATAGTCCTAGCTACATCAACTTCATCAGTATGTCCATAGGACTGGGGTGCACATTGAAAACCTAGCTGTCTGGGCTCTTCAAAGGTCCAGCCTAAGACCAAGGTTTCTGTAGAAAATGGTCATGATACTGAGGAGGAGCCAGGTCAGGATGCTACCAAATTGGCTCTACTTGGTATCAAGCTTGGCTATCCGATCCTAAGGACATTCTGTTCCAAGGAGGGATGAGGGCATCTCATGGCAGTTCATAGAGGGGAGGGAGGAGGAGGAATTGATCCACTTGTCACTGTTTTAACGATTTAAATAATGTGTGTTTTAACTGCACGCATGTATGTACACATGCATTCCCGGTGCCTGTGCAGGCCAGAGGAGGGTGTGGAGTTTTCTGGAACTGGAGTTCCAGATGGTTTGAAGCTGCCAAGTGGGTGCTGGGAACTGAATGACGGTCTCTGCAGGAGTAGCAAGTGCTCAGTGGTTGAGTCATTGCTGGAGCTGCACACAGTGGGGTTTTTATTCTGGGTCACATGAGTAGTCTTAGCGCAGCCTACTGCTCCTCCTGGCTTTACTGAACAGACAGGAAGTTCTGGGGAGCATGCCCACAGGGAAGGTGTGAGAGGAGGTGCTTCGGCTTGCTGTGCACAAAGCTTACAAGCCCAAGTAGTTAGCTCTTGCTACAGTTGTAGCTAGACCACTGCCTGATAGGTCCATAATTCAAAAAAGCTTAAGCACTTACTATAAAATGGAATCTTGTTTGCCTACATCACATTTAGTCTCTGAAGCAGGAACAGTGACTTTTTACAATGAAATGAGAGCACAGAAGTGGATCATGCTCAAACTGGTAGAGGCTTTTGCTGATCAAACCCACCCATGTCTGCAAGTGGAGGCCCAGATGGACTCCTTAGCATGTGCTCATGTATTCCGTAAGTACAGTGTCAAACAGGGAAGGGAAGTCCATTCTACTTATATCACAGATGAGGATCCTAAAATTCATTTAATTACATGTTTGGCCCAAGAGAAGAGTCATAAATAAACCACTGAGAAGCTTTTTCTTCAATGTCCGTTCTGCCCAGAGGGTTTCCTTCCTCCCTTCCTTCTTTTTTAAATCTTTAAAAAATTTTATTTATTTATTTATTTATTTATTTATTTGAGACAGGGTTTTCTTACACAGTCCAGGCTGGCCTTGAACTACAGAGCTTCACCTACCTCTGCCTCCCCATTAGTGGGATTAAAGGCATGTGCCATCGCGCCTGGCCCAGATGGCTTATTCACACTGGCCAGCCATTGGAAAGCTTACACTCAGGCTGAAAGCTCCGCTGTCTTGGGGGCACCCCTCTGCAGCACATGCGTGGGTGTGTGGAAACAACAGTCAGGCTCAATGCTGCAGGCCCAATAAGGTGAGAAAGAGTAAAGAAAGCAGAGTCATCCCACAGGGAGCCTCTCTCTGTCCGGGTGCTAATTAAAGCCTTATTCACAGATGTTGTCTGTTTCCCTCAGTGTTTAACTGCAGTCCTAGAGACGAAGACCACTACACCGAGGGCAGAAAAGGCTGTGTTGAGAAATACCACTGTTACTCTTGGTCTTTATCTAAAAACTAAAATAGCTTCTGTATGTTTTAGTAATGGCAGCAAAAGTCTCTCTCAAAGTTTTGTGTAAATTATGGCTCAGTAACAATGGAAATGATTTCCTTTTAGAAATAATGTACCCTTCAACAATGCAATCAGTGGTAGGCTGGACATGTTTAGAACCAAGTTTTTTTTTTTTTTTTTAATTAAAAACTTCTACTTAATTGTTTAAATAAAAATAACAACATTAAAATAATCTCTACATACAGTTACAAAGGATGGGAAAGTCTCTTAGAATTTTGAAAAGATGAACATGATGTGTCCATGATGTTCTAAGAGCACAGAAAAGTCAAAAACGAAATCTTCTTGCTCCCAGTCAAGTCCTTATCAGAGGACTGAAAAGCCTGAGTGTGAACACAGTCACTCAGTCAACCACTTTTATGGACTGAACACTGGAGAGAGACTGGGTGTGTGTTGGCCTGGCTCCGAGAGACCTAGAAGCTGGGATGCCGCCTTCGGAATGGATGGTCCGTGGGTACTTAGCAGCAGCTGCCTGAGGAATGGTTTGCTGTAAAGATAAGAGGCTGCTTTAATAATCTCAGAGTTTAGATGTGAAGCATCATTTCATCACCTAAAACCCAAACCAACAGGCATTTGGCATCCTGCAGATACCAGCAATGCACTGGGTGGAGTTGCCATTCAACCAACTTGTGAAGCTCTTCTCTACAAGGAACCCACTGTTTCAACAACCACATTTAACCCCAGAGCCTTGGGAATCATTGCTCTAAGAGGTCTAAGAGGAAAAGGTTCACAGAGGCCAAGTACAGAAAAGGACTGGATGGTGTCTAGATGAGGGTCAACTCTAAACATTCACCCCTTATTCTATTCAGCCCAGGCCTTGCTTCAAGTCATGGTAAAATAGACCTCAGATCTCACTTGGGAGCAGACCCAACATTTTAGAGTCACACAAGAGACAAGGGGTTCCCTTAGTGTCTCTTTCCTTCAAGAGGGTCTTGCTATGTAGCCCAGGCTGGACTCAAACTTGTGATCTACCTGCCTAGCCTCTGGAATGTTGGGAATAAGGAACATGCCACCATACTCAGTTGGACCACAATTTCCTAAACAAGGGAAGAACTGAATGTGAGGAACAAATACAGACACCGAAGAGAAGATGATTTGCACACCAGCTCAAAGCTCAGGGAACGCCGAGACATGCGTGCTAAAGACTTTAAGTCAGGGCAGAGCAGACTCAGTCTACATATGTGATATGTAAAAATATACATTGTGTATATACATACATGTTACTCATACATACATATGGAATACAGTTAAGACTTTATTGTATCTGCTACAATGTCTTATTAGCTGGCAGAGGGATTTGTATCAAGTTAAGTTATTAGTCATGTACACACAAATTTCTACTAAAGGATCTTCAATTTAGAAAAATCATCTTTAAAATATTTCAAGTATAATTTTATGCATTAGGGGCAGGAGTGATGGCTCAGCAGGTAGAGGACCAGGCATTCATGTGGTGCACAGACAAATATGTAGGCAAAACATTCACAGACATAAAATTGATAAAAAATGCATTTAGTTAATATATTTATCATGTATTTCAAAGACTACATAATAAAACAGGGTCCTCACATCCAATTCTGTCTTAAAAGTGAGAATTCCTCTATGGAGAAATGAAAAAGTAACCTCCCTTCTTAAGGTATCTTATACAGATGTTTCTCCAACTATAAACACCTGGGTAACCATTACAAATGGGAGATTCTTGCAGCTGGTATGAAATTTTAGTTGACAAACATCAAATATGACATGATTTATCAAAGTTGTTTCTCCTTGAGGATGGGTAAGAGGGACTACAGAAAGACAGAGTTCCCATGGGTATTATGATCTACAAAATATGGCAGAACAGGAAATCAGCCCCAGGAGCAAGTGAATGCCCAGCAGATGGGCAAGGGCGATACAAACAGATCCATGCTTTATTGGCAATAATGGTTTCTGCTAGTTTTAGATTGAGATTCCTGGGAAACAATTCAAATGGCGTAGAGGACCACAACTTTCACAGGACAAAGGACAAAAAAGCAGCTGTAGCAGAAGAGGTTCCTGGACCTCTGGCTCACAGGCACCTGCTACAGCAGCACTGTGTACATGCTGAAGAGCAGCAGGCAGCCCAGGAGAGAACAGAGCGCCTGGAAGGAAAGAGCTAAGGTTCCAGTTCCTCAACATTTAGGTGTGAGTACATTATTTGATGGAGGCTTAACCTGAACTCAATTAGGGAAATCAAGGAAAACAGGAGAGGATGATATAATACTGGGAGGAAAGGAATTGATGAAAGGGGATAAAATTCTACTCTGTCACAACGAGAAGTTAATCTGGGAGGGAGTAGGAAAGTCAGATATGGGGGGCGTGTAGGAAGGATTTGAGAAATGATGTGATTTTATTTTAATTCAATAAAAACTTAAAAAGATTCTAGTTCCTCAATTTCTCTACTCTCTAAAATGCCAGGGCTGGAGAGACAGCCCAGAGGTTAGGAGTACTTGCTGCTCTTCCAGAGGACTCAGGTTTGACTCCTAGCACCCACACGGCAGCTCATAATCATGTAACCCCAGTTCTAGGGCATCCGATACACTCTTCTGGACCAGGCATACATGGGTGCACAGACATACATGCAAGCAAACATTCAAAGATTAGAATAAAAAAAAAAAAAAGAAAGAAACGGAAAATCTCAGTTCCTAGTTAAGTCATGGTTTCTAAAGGTTCTGTAGTTTACAAAGTTCCTCTGTATATGCCACTTTATGTATTTTCTCATTTAATCCTGAATCCTGACAGTGTTCCAGAAGCTCAGTACTCTGACCAACCCCATTTCACAGAAGAGGAAATGGAGGCTGAACTATCTGACTTGACTTGTCTCTATCCAGATGCAGCAAATGGAGGTAACAACCAGGATGGTTTCACTTGTCTCCTGCTTCAAGTCTATGCATCTTCCCTTATAGCACGTATATTTCTTGTAACTCACAGTCTTTTAATGTAGAGATAGGCTAGACATTTTTATGCTGGTCAACTAGAAAAGGTAATCCAGTAGGTTGACTGCTAAAACAATAAACTGAAAGGTTCCATGCAAGAAGAAAAAAAGAAAAATAGACACATTTCTTAAAGGAGGAATTTGTAAGTATGATTTACACAGACTAAGAGTAAGTAGTAACAATGACCGACCATGAATGTCAGGGTTGACTAGGGGACAAACTCATGAAAAAAGACTCCCTGACAGGACTTACCACTGTGACTGGATGATGCTTCTCCACGACAACCGAGCTCATGGGAGGAGAAACTCCCATGATAGCCAAACTGCTGTTGATTCTAGTTTTGGAAGCAAAATCACACCGTCCGGTGATCCGAGCTGTAATTGTCTTCCCAGCCTTCTGCTGTGCTGAAGTCACAACTCTTGGCATGTACTGCAAAACCAAACCAAACAAACACCAAGTCGCTGGAAGACCCACCGCACACTTAGCATTGCTCTGCTGGGTAACTTTCAAAGAAAACACACAGCCCTTAAACCTAACGAGACAAAAAGGCAAAACAAAACCGCAATGTTCCCAAACTCTACAATATTCCTCTAACCTTGGCATGTCAACTACTTAAAAATGTTTTGGGGATTTAAAACCCTTCTTCTGAAGTGACAGAGTCCCAGGGAGTGTCCTTGTGTGTTCTCTTAGGTTCCTGCAAGGATCAAGTCTTACCTGAAGTAAACCACATCGACACCAGCACACTGGGTCGGCACGAGGCCTGTGTACACATCTGTGCCATTTTACTACACGCAGACTCCGTACCACTGGCACCGAGCCACAGTGTGGTTACTCCATCAAACACACACCTCTCGCCCATTTCCCTTCTCCCACTCATCCTCCATAACGCCAGCCACCGTCTGGGTTATGACTTTAATCCTTAAGTAGAACTATCATCATTACACATATGTTTTTGTCCTGCTTTAAAAAACTAACAATGTGAAAGGCGCAAAGCTACCCAGAGAAACCCTGTCTCGAAAAACAAAAAAAACAAAAAAAAAAACAAAAAAAAAAAAAACTAACAATGTTTCATGAATACAGAAACTTAAAATAAGTTGTAAAGAATGATTTCATATGACAGACTAGTTTTTCCTCTGTTCTCTTCCTATAGTAAATAATTTTTGTAAAAACATTTCTAGAAGTTATTTTTGTAGAAATACAGCAAAAAACGGGATGATCATATCAAAAAGCAACTTCAACATTTAAAGCTTTTATTGGTTATCACTACACAATATTGAAGAAAGATTATATGTATATCAAGAGTGATGTATAATTTCCTATTTTCACTATCAATTATATAAATGCTTAACTCAGTGTAAGGTTTGACTTTTTTGGTTTGACTTGTAATGCTTCATCAGTATTTCATATTTACACTATAACTTGTCAGTTCTTTAACTTTGGTCAGAAATGGAAAGGACAGTTGCTATTAAAACAATATAATAGCTCCAAAAATCTGGGTAGGGTGGTATGAATGTGTGTGGCACCTGGGAGGCTAAGGCAGGAGGACCACAAGTTTGAGGCCTGCCTGAGAGGCACAGTCTGTCTGTCTATCTGTCTGTCTCCCCCCCCCCCCTCTCTCTCTCACACACACACACACACACACACACACACACTAGCATCGGTTGGGCTGGGAGTGTTACTGAGTGGTTTTGGTATGCCATGAATGGACTTAGAGGTCTGATTCCTAGCTCCCCAAACAAAAAAAATTAATAGTTCCTGATGGGTATTAACTTCATTTAAGGACTAAAAACACGTATCTAGTGACATAAACATTTTCTTTATGTATTTCCTTCCTTCCCTGCCTCCTTCCTTCTTTGGAGTTCAATCTGTGGGTGGTAATGCTTGTACATATCCATGCAGAAGACAGAGGCTGGGTGCCTCTCTATTGCTCTCAGACCTACTGCCTAGGGACAGGGTCTCACTGAACCGGAAGCTCACTGTTCAGGCTTGCTGGCTGGCTGGCCATCAAGCTCTCAGGATCCACCTATCTGTCCCCCTGCCCACCACAGCCCCCTATGTGGGGCTATAGTCATGTGCAGCCATGCCTGGCTGTTTTGAAAATAAGTGCTGGGATTTGGAATTAGGTCCTCAAGTACTTTTTCCAGCTGAGTCCCCCCAGCCGCCCATGCTTCACTTTTCAGTCTCCATAGTCTTTAATCTTATCACGAACTCTTCTTACATGAAGGAGAAAATAATCTCCTTTGGACAGCTGCAATAACTATGCTCTTACATGTACTCATGGTGGTGTAACTGAAAATTCTGTGTGAAGTATTAATCTAAATGCATGTTTTTTTCCTCAATAGTTCTTCTAAAAGCAATTATTAAATATTGGTCCTTCCTGCATGGTTTGGCCCATCCAAGGTTCTCTCTTTATCTGCATTCAGCTGCAGATGCTAAGAGCTGTCTACTGAATCATGGAGAGGATAATCAAGGAGACTTGGCTCTGGGGAAATTAAAACAACCCAGAGGAAAACAACATTTAATAGGGTTGTGCAAGTCCTTAAAGAATCTGGGAAGAATTCATTATAGTGCCATAAAAACCCAAGCAAAGGCAAAAATGAAGCAATTAATTCTAGGAACAAAAAATATGCTGGAAGGAAATGTCATCACATACATTCAAGGCTTAGCTATATTTACACAGGACTCTCAAGTACGATTGAAGTTGAAGCTGGAATAGCTGTGTTAAACATTGACACACAGGAAGGGGCCGGCAGAAGGCTACATGGTGTCACAGGCCAGGCCCTTCCTCCACAGGAGGAAGTCAATAGATAAGGATTCAGATTAACAAATGTCTGCCAAAGACAGGAACATACTGTTCAAGGAAAGGCGCCAGAAGGAAACAGCTAACAGCTCGGGGAAGGGGATCTGGAGGACTGGTATTGAAAATGTAAGGACTGCTTTGTGAATTAGTGAACTTTACGGATCGGATGTATTTGTGCAAACAAATCTCAGACTTTCAGATGTTCAAAGGGCTGCAAACAAGGCTCAGGGGTTAAGTGCATGGATTGCTCTTCAGAGGGATTGAGTTCAAATCCCATCAACCACATCAGGTGGCACACAACCACCTGTAATCTAGCTCCAGGGGATCTGACACTTCTGGGCACACCCCCCCCAACTCACACATAAAAACAAATTAAGAAAAGATGTTCACAAATGTTTTGCGAACTAAATCCACATTTCTATCTTCAGGAAAGTATATATATTACATATATATAATATACAGATCAGCAAATATAAGGTACAGAATATTTTGTGAATGAATGAAGATTATTTTTTGGGACTGGCAACTGGGATTGAACCTATGCATGCCAGGAATTTATTCTACCAAGAAGCTGGGCCCCAACTCCAAATGAAGATTCATAAATGCTATTTTAGAATATGAAATTAATAGTTGACAGGAAAATCCATCGGAATTGAGAATCAGCTCAACGCCAGAGCACTTATATGTGCTAAGCCCTGGGTGTGATCCTTAGCAGTGGGAAAACCCACCAATAGCCCAAAGTACTGAAAAGTGAGGTAGAACTGTACCTCTAACACCCAAAGGTGATAAACATGCCCCTCCATAGCAGCTAATCTCACTTGAAGAGGGAGGGAATGCATGAAAACCCAGAAAAGTTTGGAATGAGGAACCCCAGAGTAGCCAGGAACTACAGATGATCAGCTAAGAACTGCGTCAGACTGCCTCATGAGATGGAGAGGACACGTCAAGGCTCCAGATAAATCTTGTTCTGAAAGAAGTCGTCTGCATGCTTGGAGTTGTTCCCAGTGGTTTGACTTGCTAACTGCAGTGTATATACAGGAAGTGGAGGCTGAGGAGATGGCTCGGTTATCAACAGCACTTTCTGCTCTTTGAGGACCTGGGTTGGTTCTCAGCACATCAGCTGGCTTACAACCACCCATATAACTCTAGCTCCAGGGGCTCCGACGCCCCCTTGTGGCCAGTGTGGGCATTCCCTCACACCATACAAATTTACAAAATACTATTTATGTAACCCAAACAGTTTAAACTGGTGAAAAAAAGAGCTGTTTTTAAAAACGCATAAGGATGTTTTTATAGAGAATTTATATGAAACATCATTAGAAAGATTTCTGTTAAATTAGGTGGCGGGGAGAAAACAAAAATACTAACAGTGTATTTGCTAGTTCATAACATACTTTACAGAAACTGACAGTGGAAAATGGCAAACGCATTGGGAAAGGCTTATGCTAGAAAGGTGGTCTATTTACAATCCATAACCACACCTCGCCTGTCTGTCTGCTGAAAACCGGCTCTTTTGAGTGCTAAGTACGTCCATAGGGGTTACCCTCTATAAACCTCAATTTCCTCACTTATAAAATGGGGAAACAATACCAACTACCTCACAATACTCCATCCATTCTGATGGAGGGAGAAGTTAGATGAAAAACTTCAGTAAGCAGTTTGGAAATCCAGCTATGACCATTTCCTCAGGGACTCCAATTACACTCCCAGAACCAGAAGAGCATAGCGCCACCTACTGTCCAGCTCTGTGAGTTGAAACAATTTGCTGGGATAACTGCCTAGTGTTCTTTTGTGGAGATGTGTGGTAGGGTTGGGTGCAGTTGAGACAGGCTGGCCTTGTGCTTCTTTTTAAAACAAGAAGACACATCTGAGGTGAGTCTGAGTATCTGAATGACACAAAGGGGAAAACTTGACACTGTCCTTACAGAAGGATTACCCGTGAGTCTTTCCCCTGGCCCGGAAGACGTTCTTTAGGTGCTGTAACTATCATGTCTGTGACAGTACTTTTGGATTACTTTTCACTGCACACTAATATTTTAGTCACTTTTTGTTTTGAGTACTTTCTGTGGGTTGAACCAAGGAGCATGCTGACTTTCCTTTTTTTAAATGTATCTTATTCTTTGCTCCCTTTTATTGAAAATAGTTTTTTTCCTCACATAATATATTTCTATTATGGTTTTTCCTCCCACACTGTTCCCAGTTCCTCCCTTTTCCCCTCCCATCCAGATCCACTCCCTTTCTGTCTCTCATTAGAAAACAAACAGGCTTCTAAGGGATAATGATAAAATATAGTAAGATTAAAAAAAAAAAAAAACCCAAACAGCCGGGTGGTGGTGGCACATGCCTTTAATCTCAGCACTCGGAGGCAGAGGTAGGCAGATCTCTGTGAGTTCGAGGCCAGCCTGGTCGACAGAGTAAGATCCAGGACAGCTACCAAAACTACACAGAGAAACCCTGTCTCAAAAAAAGAACAACAACAACAAAAAAAACCAAAACCCAGTAAACAAAACAAAACAACCCCCCCCCCCAAAAAAAAACCCAACACATCAGAATTGGACAAAACAAATAGAAGGAAAAGAGCCCAAGAGAGGCACAAGAACTAGAGCCACTCAATCCACACTTCAGAAATCCCATCAAACACTAATCTGGTGCAGCCTGGTGTGTGCTGTGAGTTCACAGGAGCTTTGATCATGTTCACATTGACTTTTCTCTATGTTTGCCATGTTCCATTTCCAGCCCTGGGGATGAGAGCTTTGCTGGATTTGATCCTTAGCACTGCATTTACAAATAGGAGCAAATGAATGAACACAAAGCCAGATCCCCACAAACACCAGAACAACTGGAGCTGTGTGTGTGTGTGTGTGTGCCGCACGCACAAACAAGAAGGGCTGTCTATACAATACTGTTTTTCATGTTTCAAAGACTTCAGAACTATTCGAGGAAGCAAGCACCATGAGGGCCGTGAGCAGACTCACTCACACATACACTCACATGCAGGGTCAGCCCTAAATGCAGACACTGATGCAGCCCTATTTTAAGGAGGATATTTTGAAATATCTAGTTCTGTGTATGTTATCTGCATATGCAACATGAATGGCAAATCAGAAATTTAAATAAACTCCTACTGTGTTTATTTAAATGAGATAATCTACATAGGATGAATAATCATGGAAAATAAACACAGCTGAACATATGTCAAGGTTGAATTTCAGTCTTATTCCTAAGTCAGACTCCTCCACACGTTCTTATTTCTCGTACTATACACACATGTGCCATGGACTTTCACTTCAGGCAGAGCAAACACGGCAAGTAGCAGATGCTAGCCTCCAAAATCAGCAGCTCTGAAAGGAAGGAGTTCAAGTGCGCTACAAGAGAAAATGTGACCAGCTGTCTGGCCAAATCTGTCTTTCTTCCCTTACAGAGAGCTCTCTAGAGCGACAGTGCCCGGTCACGGCCTGCCAGGAATGGTTTACGACCTACAGCAAAGCTGAGTGTGCCTGCTGCTCACATCTGTAATCTCAATACTAGGGAGGCCGAGGCAGGAGCTTGTCACAAATCTGAAGTCAACCTGGGGTGAGAGAGTTTGTTTGTCTGTCTGTCCATCTCTGTCTCTCTCCCCAACCCCCAACATGATACAGAGTAAGAGAAAAAAGACCTAAAGTCCTTTCCGCCATCTTCTCTGTTACGTCAGTGGCTATAGACGAGGACAGAGGGAAACAGTCCTGCTGCCTTCGTGTGAGAGCAACACTGGACAGGAAGCGGCAGCAGAGCTGAGTCTGACAAGGCTGTGGATGGTCGCTCCTGAGTCACAGCCACGGTGGGCTCTCACCAGTTCCACTACTTCCTCAAACACAGACTTTTCACACCGACTGACTCTCCGCCCTGTTCAGTCCCTTCTCTAAGCACTTCCCTATGGAGAAGCAGGTTGACTGGAGGACAGGCTGTCCTTCCTCATTTCAACAGGATTACAAATGGACAGAGGCAGTCACTTGCATGTGACAGATCACCCAGAAAAAAAGGGAGGAAAATATCACGGAGTCTTCGAAGCCCTTGAAAATACCCATTAGTTTGTTTAAAAGAAAGTCTGTTATTACTCTTTCTCAAATGAACCTATTTTCCTGCAATAGTACTTTTGGATTACTTTCACTACAAACTAACGTTTCAGCCACTTCCTGTCTTGTGTACTTCTGTGAGCTGGCCAAGTATCACACTGACTTTTTTCTCTACATTCGCCACGTCCCATGTACAGCCCGGGATGAGAGCCGGACTGGGTTGGACCCTTAGCACTACATTTACAAAGCCAGAGCCCCACAAACACTGTACAGGACATCCATCCACGCTTCCGAAGCCTTGCACAGAGGGTACTAACCATTTCCTCCGGGGCAGCAGCAGCTGCGGGTCCTGCCCCAAGAACAGAGACAGGAATGTGAACAGAAGAGGCAGATGTAGCTCCAGCAGAGGTCATGGAGGCGGCGGAGGGAATGACCGTGGCGCTGGCCACTCCTGCTGCTGCAGATGGCAGCAGCTGTGACGGAACTGCTGACGGCATTGCTGACGGTATTGTAGATGAAGAAGTATCCAAATGAGCAGAAAGTTCTCTTCCCGGACCACCAGGGCCACTCTCTTCCTTTTTATTACTCGCGAAGTCTATCCCTACAAATCACAAATCCGTTCTATTAACACTAGCCCAAATTCAGATCACTACCCTCCAAATAGAGAAAAGACTAATGGCTACAATATAGTTCTAATAAAAACGCCTATTTGTCACCTTGGGGGTTTACTGTTCACTTAATACAGTTGTCAGTATTAACTGGCTAGTATCAACTTCAGATGAGGTGAAAGCGTCAACGTGTGAAAGCTAACCAATGATCTGCTCTTATATAAACGATAAGAATCAAGCATGTGCTCAGTGGGAGCCGGCTGGGTGTACCGCCATCGGAACACATGTGGTAACTAATGTACGTGGTCACCCAGGGTGGGAGGGTCTCCAGCCTTCCCCCTTCACACAGCCATCCTGACTATTAGACCTTTGCAACCATCTCCCCTATCAACACCCTCCTCATGGCAACTACTACTTCTATTTTAACAAAAACAAGGTGGTTTCACTCTTGACATTTTAGCAAGTCAAATAAATGAGTCAAGAAAATGAGCTGAACTAGCTGTAGGGATGGCTTCCTCACAAAGGGACCTATCCCTGATCTAGGGAGGGAATGTAGTCAGCTTTTAGAGGAAGGTAGGACAAGGGCCTTCACCTAATTTTTGATATTTTCCCCCTTGGAATTAGAATTTGGCTACTTTTCACTTGAACTATCTCTGAATTTGAAAATGTAGTGAGATGTTGTAGATACTGAGAAAGATTTTGTTAAAGAGTTTCTACACGTCTTCTTTCCATCATGATGCCCGGCCTTCAGCGATATGCACATTATACATAGTAATAGTTACCTCGTTAAAGTTTAACAATGATTATAGTTCAAAGACCCTTCCAACTCTGGTAAAAGCAACTATTCCACATGAAGTATCACTTATAACTTGAAAACTGCACCTTTACACACACTCTCCCATGGAGGTTTAACATGTTTTTGGCAGAAAGTAACTCTGCATGGCAGATATCCATGACTTAGAACCAGAGAAAAGGTCAGGTGTGAACAGGCAGGTGACCAACTCTTGCTGATGTGGGCTCATTTAAGAAGTTTCTGTTCACAGATCTCTCTTAATGGGGGGACATTTTTCTCACTTTTCTCACTTACTGTGTTCTAAAACTGCTTGAAAACTCTACATCCATCATTTCAAGGATGTTCTAAATGAAGCCACAAAACCCCAGCTAATCAATGAAATGAAACTCTCATAAATAAGCTTTCTCCCAAATAGGATTTAAATGTTATTGCCATCTTCTGCCTTTCTCACAAAAAGCACGAATAAGATTTAGGGGAGCAGGTGAGATGGTTCCTCCAGTAAGGTGCTTGTCCCCAAACCTGATGGCCTGAGTTCAATTGTAGGACAGTGGAAGGAGAGACCTGACTCCTTCAGACTGTCCCCTGACCTCCACATGTGTGCCATGGCCTGTGTATGCCCTCCGTCCCCCAAACAGATAAATACAATGAAAAAGTAATAAATAAATAAAAAGTAACTAGTTAGTGTGGTGACCAAATTACGTAGGTATCAGTGAGATACACTAGTCATCTACAAAGAGATACACTTTGTAATTCTAGGTTGCTACTGTCTAACCTGTACACAGACCACAGGCCATGGCTAATTCCGATAGAAAGATGTGCCTAAACACTACTACCTAGAGCCATTTGTGACTTAAACAATCACTGGTTTTCACAGGAGTGCAATCAGAGCACAGTGTAACAAGATGAAATCCTCTCTGATTTCTCAGCAGTCCCCAGTTGGATGTCATTTGAGGCAACACTGAAGAGGTGGGCTGGAGACTGAAGACGACAACTGGACGCTGAGCAGGAGGGCCTTACATGACCATCTTGACTTACAGAGTGCCTCCTGCTCCTTCACTGCCTCTCGGTGAGAGTCCCCTGAAGCAGCTCTGTCACAGGCTTTGCTTGGAGAAGGGGTCTAAGGCCCACTGAGGGAACTGGCCCCACTCTACACTGGTAGCAAATGGTTGTGGTCATGTGTTCTAATCCATACAGACAAAACTATTACAAAGAGACTCCAGGTTTACATAGACTTAAAAAAAATATTTTACTGACAAAATAGGTTTTAGGAAACCATGACTAGGTTAGAAATATTTAATCAACAAACCTGTCTATGAAATGTGGCAACTTACACAAAAATGAAAATAGAAATTTAATGTTTAGAGGCATCAAAATGTTAAATGTTACAATTATTTCGGCTGTGCACGGTGATGCACTCCTAGACTTCCAGTCCACAGAAGGCTGAAGCAGGGCATGGATTTGAGGCCAACCTGGGTTATATAGTTAGATGCTGGAATCATCTGGACACTGAGCTTAAGTAAGAATTGAGAGGTACAAGCCGGGCGGTGGTGGCGCACGCCTTTAATCCCAGCACTTGGGAGGCAGAGCCAGGTGGATCTCTGTGAGTTCGAGGCCAGCCTGGGCTACCAAGTTAGCTCCAGGAAAGGCGCAAAGCTACGCAGAGAAACCCTGTTTTGAAAAACCAAAAAAAAAAAAAAAAAAAAAAAGAATTGAGAGGTACAATGAATAAGCTGACTGACTACTATGGTGGATTTAGAGCTGGGCATGAGCCCATGAGAGCACACACCAGATACGGGGAGATAAGCACACTCACTGCAGAACATTCCCCTCAAGTTCCTTTTGAAACTGAGCAGAGAACCATCCATGAATTCCTCACCTGCATCATTTTTGTTCTGAAATATGGTCATGGCTTCAAGGTTTAATGCGCATACTCCCCTCATGAATGCTTTCTTCATAGAGTCTTCAAAGTGCTCTTTTTCTTGTTGCATTCTTTGAATCTCAGCTTTTGCATTTTCCAAAGCTCCAGATAACTAAAGAATTACACACAAGGGGAGAGGATTGAAACACAAGAAGGATTATTATTGTCAAAAAGCAGACTAAGGTTATTCTTTGCTATTTATCTACTTATTTAACTTTTTGAGACAAGATCTTATGTAGCCCAGGCTTGTCTCTAACTTGCCATGTCGTCAAGGGTGACCTTGAAATCATCCTTCTATCTCCACCTCCCAAGTGCTCAGGTTACAGATATTTGCTGTCATGTCCAGCAAAAATGTGGCTTTTTATTTCTTTCTTAAACTATGTAACTTTTACGCAGGATATTAAGTAAAATATATTCATACATGCCACACATGACTCATATTCCTTTGAGAAGATAAAAACTAACTAAAATTCTTGAATATTAACAGAATTTTTGAAAAGTAAAGGCTATTTACAGAATTTAAAGTACACAGTAAATTTTGGTAAAACCTACTTTCCCATAGACCAAACCTAAAAAGATTACATCTTTTCTGTATGCCATTATATATTATTATAAAAATTATTTAGAGAGGTAGACAGGCCCGGTGGCGGAGACAAGCAGACGCAGGTAGGCCTGTGGCGGCGGCCCGTGGAGGTAGACGGGCCCAGTGGCGGCAGCCGACAGGGACATTCAGGCCCAGCGGCAGCCGGCAGAGACATTCAGGCCCAGCGGCGGCCCACAGAGGTAGACAGGCCTGGCAGTGGAGACAAGCAGACACAGGTAGGCCTGTGGCGGCGGCCCGTGGAGGTAGACGGGCCCAGTGGCGGCAGCCGACAGGGAAACTCAGACCCGGCGGCAGCCGGCAGAGACATTCAGGCCCAGCGGCGGCCCACAGAGGTAGACGGGCCCAGCGGCGGCCCGCTGAGGTAAACGGCCCGGCGGCAGCGGCCAACAGGGACATTCAGTCCCGGCTGCAGCAGGCAGAGACATTCAGACCCGGTGGCGGCCCCCAGAGGCAGACAGACCCAGCGGCAGCTGACAGGGACATACAGGTCCGGCGGCGGACCGCAGAGGTAGACAGGCCCATGGACGGAGACAAGCAGACGCAGCTTGGAACTGGGACGCCCCTAACCCCAACATCTGGGGAAGAAGCTATCTCCGTGGGTCAGAACCAGAACGAA